ACAGTCAGTTTCAATCGAATTCGAATTATATATAGTCACAGTATGGAATTGTAAAAGCGGGGATTTTTGACTCATAGTCTTTAGTTTCGTAGGTTATGAAGTTCGTAGTGGAACAGAATCGTGTATATCATCACTCTACTGTACCCAGTCGAATAGCGACACGGTTTTGGAAGCATCATATATGGTTTACAGGATTTGACATGCAGTGAAAGAACAGAATGACGAAAAAGGCTACCTTTGTGAGCTTCGAACCGATATCTCATGCTATCCTGCCAGCTCTCCTAAGCCAATCAAACCACAAAGCGTATCTTAATCTTATTTTAACATCGCAGTATAGCATCACTGATCCTAACAGGTTTCTATAGCTGATGTAGATTTATTTGCTGGTTTGTGTGTGACTATAAATTAAGAGAAGAGCTATATCGACCCTCCCAATTCGAGAAAAGACCGGAGAGAGATAAAAAATTGAAAATGAATGATATATTTGTTTACGTTAAATGAGTCGAGAGAGAAAAACTACAGTACTGTAGTAAACATATTGACTGTTGAGTTAGTTTTTTCATGAAATAAAAGTAACAAAAATCGCTTTGATTGAGTCAGGAATCATGACACTCATCTTGTTTCAGACATGTTTTCATTTTCGGGTGCTAACACGATACTTTTCGTCGCCTTCAATCGCTTGGTTTCGAATTTTAGTAGTTTCGTACTCGGACCCGACCCGGCTCAGTTTTTTCAAACCCGAAACCCGAAACCCGACCGGACCCGGCCCAGCCTTGAAACAGTCAGCATTTGACTAATGCAATGTGTCATATAAGTCCTTTCCTAAAAGTTTTTTCAGTATATCTTTACTATTTGATTCAACTTTGTCAACTAATTTTTCTAAATGATTGGTCTATGTACGGAGTTTTTATTTTGCTGAGCGAAGTTCAAAGTACCCGTCTAAGCTATTATCTGTAATCGAAGCACAAGTTTACTGTTCTATATGTAGAAAAATATTGCGTAGTAATTCTTTATTTATTCTTTCATTTTCTTGGACGTTATGCACACACTCATACTACACATGGGTTAATAACAAAACAACAACTGCACATTCTTTGGATGAAAAAATTTCCGTGTGGCACGAAGAAATCGTAATGTAGTTATCAAAACTTAATGTGTAATATATAATGTTAACCAAAGCACTGGTTGGATCATTTCTTACAATCCATTGATTCACGACAATGGTTCAACGATTAATTAAAAAAAAATAACCATGAAATGTTTTGAAACTTCTTTTATCTGACTTACAGGACAAAAAAGAATTAGCGAAAAAGTAGCTTTCAAAAAGCATAGGTCATCAGTATATTTCGTGAAAATAGTTCACTTCTGTCCGATTAATAAGCTTGATGATGAATGGTTTGCCAGATATATGCCGACTTTATGAGGTTCGCTGTCCCTAGTTTTGACGCCATTGAGTTTCTTTTTAGGAAAATATATCAAAGGGAATATCTAAAAAATGACGCTTAAAGTCTAAACGATTCAAACGTCAGAGTTATTCAATAAATCGGAGTAATTAAAACAATCGTGGAATAATATCTTTCTGCATACTCGTATTTCGGTTACTGATAATAGCTTATAAGTGTACTTTTTAACTTTGCTTGCAAAAAATAAAAACTAGATGCATGGATCTATTATTGTTAAAAAAAATAGTTGATAAAGTTGAATCAAATAGTAAGGATGTGAGGGGCTGCAGAATTCCTATCAAGCAGAGTTCAAAATTCTGTAGACTTAGCTATTTTCAAATGAAAGAACGCACGAAACGTACTCCTTCACACCCGTGATCGACAGCAGAATTCAAGCCAGAATTCTGTTGCAATAGCGCAATGCAAAACATAATGACAGATGATAGTATTCGTATACATCCTAGACGAGATCAGTTCTTAAGAAAAATTTAAAAAAAGACAGTAGATATCAACCTAGAGTTCTATGCAGGTAGCAGAATATACACCATAGCACATGATAAAGAATGCTTACGCAATAATGGCTGTCATGTCTCGATCGTCTTCACGATCTCTACACTAAAGATGACACCAGTCGGTATTTGAAGATCTGTGACACGCAGAATGTTCATGTGTATGAAGTTCACGTTTATAATAGATATCAGTGACGAAAAATCCAAGGATGAAAATATACCCTCAGAAAAATAAACCTATTACACTTCTTCCATTTCACAAAACTTTTTCCCTCCCGTCATGAAGTTAAGAAAATCAATATAATTCTCTACCACTAGACAGGAAAGACATGGTGTGCAACACAAATGTTTGCCTATCATGTACTCCGTACTTTAGGTTTCCACGGTATAGAATTCCATCCAGTTCTAAGCAGAAATCAGGAACAAGGTGAAAATGCATTGTCTTTGATAAGATAGAATTCTATAGGAATATAAGGAGAATTGAAATATAAAAGAATTGAATGCGTTGTTTTTGATAGCACAGAACATAACAGAAGAGAATATGTAGTCTTTGATGACGTAGAATTCTACAGAATTCCACCAAATTCTAAGCAGAATTGAGACATATCAGAAGGGAAAACGTTGCTTATGATATTAATTACAGAACTCTGAGTCGAATACAAACGCACTTATAAGAAGACAAAAACACAATTCTACTGTATGGGAATCAGTTTGTTTGATAAAAACACATAAGTTCACAGAATTCTGAATTCTGCTTGGTAGGCATGCTACAACTGCTAACCTGCCTCGGTATTCTTGTATATCCTGTACCCGACCCAACAACTTTGTGTCTGGACCCCAGTGACGGGTTCGGTCGGGTGCCGAATATCCGACCCGGCTGTAGGACACTAAATTTCACACAGTTTCAAACTTGGAGACGCAATACTAACCCTTTGATCAAAATATAGATAATGCTATGAGAATATTTAGCTGAACAACGCGAGTACGAAGAATGCTGACGATACCATTGGAATGCAAAGCATATTTTTAGTATGCTCAGAATATGTAATTTTCTTAGAGAATACTAAGGATATGGTAGTCTACATATCCAACTCAAGAGAAAAAATGGTTCATTTCATTCCGCTTCTCAACATGCTGCTGTTGATGAATCATTTCCCACATCTAGTGCTTCTAATATCCTATCTTCAATACGACTGATCTTTTCAGTAGAGGGTTAGCAGCGTCTGGGCTGCGTTACTTGTAGATAATAAGTTCTTTTAGTTTTCTTAGCACAACACTCAATAAGAATCACAACATCGATTGTTTTTTATAATAGTTCGACCGTCGTGAGATCGAATAGGGTCTTATTTCATTCTCATTAGCTCTCTTTTAGTTGTTTCGTCATTTCATAATTCTTTTTTTATTATCTGAAAAGTTTAGTATTCACTTCGATATTACCTAGTCTTTACAAAAAAGATAATGTAGTAGAGGAGTCTGAAAACTCATTAATGAAGTGTCATAGTAAATGACAGATATATTTGAATTGTCATTATATTCAATTAGAACTGTATTTCAGAATAATCAAGAAAGAACATATTTTTTTTTATTTCTGTTTTAATATAAAGTACAAGATTGACACTAGAGAAAAAAAATGATAGTGTTCTGCCATGTCTTATAACTATTTCCAATTCTAAATATAATTTAATAAGCTATATTAGTATTCATGTTTAGTCTAACCTAATTATGAATTTATCAAGTTTCATTTCTGCATGTCATATCATGTCTTTTTACTACGAAAAATTAATTTTTTAATCATGATCATGATGCTCATGAGTCGTGACGGCAAGTACCGAGGGCCGTTTCTTGTTTGTTATGTCCTGTGTTCCTCAGTGATGAATGCTGTTAAAGGAGGTCAGACACATAAACTCAACGAAAATAATGGAGGTATTAATGAAGAAGAAGTAAATTACGTTCTTAATATCGACTTGTAGCACAACAAGCATAAGTTTTATATTTTGTTTATTATGATGATTAAGTTCAGTTAATGTGAATGAGAAAAAATGAATAAATTATTTAAATACATTGAGAATGTAAGACAATCTACGTTGTGAGAAATGTAATGCAATTGAAATAAAACAGGATATGTGACTATTTTAATGTTTCTGACTAATATTTAGTCATGACAGCATCAACTCTCGACGTCGTTTCATTTTCGACGAATATCAATTGATAGAGCATAAGAACCTGTAACCATAAATGGGATTATAGAATCAAAATACTACTAGGAATTATTTTAAAATATTTACTATAAAATCTTAAGATATAATCGATGTATCAATTATCTTGAAGTGGCTGATGTATTGAGAAAAAGAAAGAGAATCATTCCTAATAAGAAAAATAACTAAACCTGTGATTTGCTTCCTTTAAAAAAAAAAGGATTTTTACGTACCTTTGGAGAGCAAAAATCGGTCAAACGAAAAATGGTCACCCGCAATTCATCAATACGAATAATTGTCGAGAACTTTATAGTAAAAGAAGAAAAGTCACTTGATCAAAACCTTCAAATGAATATAAAATTAAAAATTGTCAATTTAGAAATTATGAGTAGTTCTAATTTTTATAGTGGTACAACATAAAACAAAAGTGAATGCCTGCTACTTTCGTAGACATGATTATTTTTAATAGAGCGTGAGTGGGTCACTAAACTCACACCGACACCCTTTTTGTTTTGATCTTGAAAAACAAAAATCATAGAATGGACAGAGAAGGCTTAATCAATAGTTTTTAACGACTTGTTTGACAGTAATTTCAATTTTATATTAACAAATAGAAAAGTTCTGTGGGGTTTTGCATGATTTTTGTATGAGGTATTTTGGGAGGAAAAATGATAGTTGAGAAAAACTTTTGGTCACAAATAATATTTATTATCATAATTCTTCTTAAGATATTCATCAATATCAAATAATATTTATTTAGATTAACAAAAATGCCATAATGATCCATGACTTTTTCTCTCTTCTTCTCTTTCTTCTATATGCATTCTAATCTGTTAAGGACACAAAATACAATCATGCGCTTTATTGTGATCGGCTCTGTTCTCGTGTGTATTGCGATAAGTTTCAAAATCGATTTGCCTCACGTAAATTGTAATGTGGATGGAACAGTTCAAACAGGTTGGGAGCCAATACGTGATTTATTTCAAAAAACTTTCCAAGATAATCGCGACTTAGGTGCGTCCTTAGCTGTTTACCACCAAGGAGAACTAGTTGTGAATTTATGGGGCGGATGGTTCGACAAACAGAAAACGAAGCCCTATGATAATGATACACTACAACTCGTCTTTTCAACATCAAAAGGTCTTGTGGCAATGGCTGTTGCTCTTTGTGTGCAACGTGGTTTATTGAACTATACTGATATGGTTATAAAATACTGGCCAGAATATGGACAATGTGGCAAGGAAAATACAACAGTGGCTGACATCATGTCGCATAGAGCTGGATTACCTGCATTGAGGAATACTAATTTATCGATTCATGAATACTTAAATTGGTGTTCAGTGATTGATAAACTGGAGAAACAAGAACCATACTGGATACCAGGTACGCAACATGGTTATCATCCATACACTTATGGATGGTTAGCTGGAGAACTTGTTCGACGTGTTGATATACAAAAAAGAACTTTAGGACAATTTGTCACAGACGAAATTGCAAAACAGACACAAAGCGAATTTTATATTGGATTACCTGAAGAAAACGAACATCGTGTGTCACCAATCGTCATCAAAGATTTCGGAAATCACGTGTTTGATGTAGAAACTAACTCATTACTACAAGAAACATTATTACCTTATTCAGAATTAGATAAATTTAATGATCCAAAAGTACACCAAGCTGAGATCCCTGCAGCGAATGGGATAACGAATGCTCGATCTTTAGCTCGAATTTATGCATCTTTGATTGGCGATTTAGACACTTCAAAACGACTATTGAATGAGATGGTCTTAAAACAAGCAACAAAATCAAATACACCTGAAAATGAACCAGATCAAGTTTTGATGCATATACCGACCATGTTCGGAATGGGTTTCATGACTTATGGATCAGTATTTAATGTAATGGGACCAGGAACATTTGGTCACAATGGTAAGTGCAATTACTGTTTATTCTTTCAACCATTGGACTCCGCGATGTATCCAATATCTTAACAGTGAAACAGATGTTCATCAAGCCATAATTTCTCTAGAAAAAGACTTTTTGGTTTTTTTCTGAAATAAGAAAGTTATAGAAATATATTCAGAAGTTAGAAATCAGTCCATCTTCTGTGTTTGAAGTTATCTGAAGTAAAAAAAATATCAATAACATACTAGATCGGCTGGCTTTTAGCGAAAACAACCGTGTCACACCAATAAAGCTTCTAGAGATCCGCTGATTAGCATCTAGAACAGGATACTAAGGTTATTTTTACATGAGAAAAATACATCAATATTAATCTATGGAAAGTATCGAAGACACAGCTCAGTTTTTCAAGATCGTTAATCACTTGTTTCGAACTTATTTAGGACTCGGTGGCAGTCTTGGTTTTGCTTCTCCATTCCTCAATCTTTCATTTGCCTATGTTACAAATTTGTTGGACATCGAATCTTCATCGGTCATTGATCCACGTATTAAGCAAATCATAGACAAAATTAATTTCACTGTTAACAATCAAAACTAGATTTTCCAATCGTATTTGTTTGTGTTGTCAAGGAGTAAAACTGAAACATGACTGAAATAAGCATTGTTTGAAAATATTGCTAATGTTAAATGTAGCACAATAACGTCTACAGTGAAATAAAATTTATAAATTTATTAGAGGGTTTATTTGATTATAACTTTGTGAAAAGACTTGTTTTAATTTTGTTTTCGTATTACAAATCATTGAAAACATTAAGCTTACTAGCAGCAAGTAGGCAGAAAATAATTTCAAATCAGTTTTGCTTCATATTGAATTCTATTGAGCTGTTGTAAAATAGCGATTTCTTCGAAATTCTTTTCTCTCGACAATTCTATAGAGCACCCTATAGAAAATTTCTCTAGACAACACTAAGAACATTTAGAGGACCATGATTCACAATTTTTTGTTCCATATTGTAGACTATTTGGAATATGGTATGACGTAACAAATAGTTAGAATGAATGTCAGATTGACTATTACTAGAAGTTTATATGGCTCCCTACAATCTCCTAAAATTCTTTTTACGGTTTCTGAAAGACTTCTCTAATTTTTTAGTATTTTTCTGTTAAGTAACACATGGTCAGATTAAAGCTTATAAATTATACACTCACAAATTAGATGCATTACGAAATCAATACTCGAAAGTATAATCTTTTAATCACTGATTTCGTATTCCACCTTAGTTTCCAGAAAGAAAGCATAATATTTGCAAGATATAGAGATCTTTTTGTTCGAACGTTTTATGTCACTATATCTAGTTCAGAATGAGTATGTCGTATGCTTAAAAAATACAAAAGATGATTGCTGTGAAATAAACAAGAGCCTCAAAGAGTCTCAGTAGTCTGTATAAGAGGCAGAGTACCAGGATCTGGAGGATTGACATTACGAATTTCTTCAGCCGAATCGTTAAAGAAATGTCTCCGACCTCTAGAGTGAGATTTTCTGCAGTTCCATCGACGAGCGACCAACAGGATGCCTATTATGAGCCCACAAATAATGAGTACGGCTACAATAATTAGAAGAATTTTTGAAATATGAAAGATGCTTTCAGTTTTTGACGCTGCAGTTAGCCCTAATTTTATACCAGCATCTTTTGTCGTCCTTTCTATAGCTGCTGTAATTGTTTCTATGGCAGTTGTTGTTATTTCTAGTGCTCTTGTTATTATTTTTGTAGCTGTTGTTATTTCTGTGGCTGTTGTTGTTGTTGTCGTTTTTATGCTTGTTATAGCAGTATTAATTGCTGTGCTCTCTTCTATCGTTGTTTTTATGATTGTTGTTATTGTTGTTGTTGTTGCTATGGTTGTTATTATCTCAGAAGTCAAAGGAATATTAAAGCTGAGAAAATAACAAAGTGAAGTCGTCAAAATAAATCTTCATCAACTGTGAAAGGTCTGGACCTTCTTGATAATCCTTATACAAAGAACTTTTTGATCAATTTTGATAAAACATCGTTTATTAAAGTTTTTTCAAGATTTTGGACACTCAATAGAAGATTTTTATAACTGCCTGTTTATTACACAGAAAAACAAACTCGTAAGAGCTAAAATCTACAGATTTTATTCCGTTTGGTCGAATTTTGTAAAAAAAAACTCTTGGAATACCATACAGCTGCAAAGGACATAGTATATCGGTGTCAAATTCAGGTTAAAAATTTGTTTTTTCCCAGTTTTGGCGTTTTTTACTGTTTTGCATTTTTTGTATCCAATAGAAGATATCTGCTATATATTATGACTATGGTCATAGAGAGGCCGAGAAACACTACGACTTATTCTAATTTAAAAAGCAGTACTCAGGAACAAATAGATGAAATAATCTATTTTACATGCATATGACACTTGTCTTATTTTGGTTTTTGTTTATCACTTTTGCATGTTTACTATATTTTTTTTATTGCAATAGATACTCATATATAGTGACTGCTGTTTACCAGTAGCGATTGACTTAGGTATTCTTATTTACTTAATTATAACAATAAAACGAATACGAAGCAAAAGACATAAATGAAATAGATGAAGATAGAAATTATGACATTGATATGGAAACACAAAACAATCATACAAACTTTTTTCAATGAAAACAACCTGGATAACATTTTTGAATTTGGTGTTTATGAGTAGTAAATAGTCAACAAAGATGTTACTTTTCATACTGAATCAGTCCGTATCTATATCAAAGAAATAAGTTTCAAACTTTGACAAATTTATGTCCCACAATTTTTTGCACTCAAGTTCTTCTTCAGCCTTTTCATAGGCTTGATTGGATGATCTTTTAGTACTTTTCCAATATCTCATCCACTTCTCAGTATTTCGGAATCGATATTTCTAACTAAAGGTTCAGCTTTCAATCTTCTACTAAATTATGTACTGCTATTGTTTGATGAAAACATACTTCATGGTTTCTTGATACTCGGTGCAAAAGATTAGTCCCATATGTCAAACTTTCAAACTTCGACTTGTTGCGAAATATTGTTATCATATATTTTAATTCTTACACTAATGTTGTTTTCTATATTAACTTACTCTAATTTTTTACCTCTAGTTTCTTATATCAAATAATCAGAATTGCAGAATCTACCGTAACATGGGAAAAGTTCTCACATACAGCTTGACATTTCATCCATTGATTTAAAAATGTATATGAACATAATCGACTTGTTGTTTCACATAAATTCAAAGCTCATATTAACAGAGAGAACAAGAATAGTATCTTTATGATCGTATATCGGCTCGATTGAGGCATATTACCTACGTGTTCTTTCTGCAATTCATTTTCAATAACCGAACTAGAAGAAGGAAGTCTCCGCACTTGTGATACTGTTTACTCTTCTTTTGAAACATTCACTACTGATTTCTTTCCATTCAAGAAAATTATTTGTACAGTGTATATGAAACGGTGCTTTGCTGATACATATATCAGTCTTTGAAAAGGTTAGTGGAATGACATCGACTGGTTGACACTACGTTAGAGTGTGGGTAGGGAACTGAGGAATAGTATGATTGAAAGAAAGAGAGTTCATTACAAATCGGGAAAATATGAAAAATGGGAGTTCAATCAGTGCTGCTGCTTCTAGGGTTGCACCGATACCGGTCCCGATTTTAGAACAGAAACCGATGGAACCGATAAGAATCAGTTGTTACCGGTTCCAACCGATTCTGATCAGTTCTGGTGTCGGTTTTTATCGGTTCCAACCGATTTTCATCAGTTCTGGTTTCGGTTCCAATAGGTTCTAACCGATTCTGATCAGTTCTGGTGTCTGTTCCAATCGGTTCTTATCGGATCCAACCGATTTTGATCAGTAATGGTGTCGATTCCAATAGATTCTTATTGGTTCCAATCTATACTTATCGATTCCAACCGATTCTCATCGGTTCCGGTTTGGGTTCCAATCGGTTCCATCGGTTTCGGCTCTGTGGAACCGGTAAAAACTGGAACCGTGCACCCCTAGCTGCTTCTGTATACACTATCTGAAATCGAGCAAAGACTTCTAGAAAACTTTTGAAAAGAAAAATTTCCCCCCATAAGCGTAGGTACAGACGGATATATTATTCAACTTTGAATCTAACGTAAAAGAATTTCAAGTATGCCTGAATCTTCTCTAAGGGATGTCGAAAAACGAACAGCCATCATTGCTCTATGCCTTTCAGCAATATGATTCTTACACAAACTATGTACTCAGAATTTAATAATCCAAAATTCTACATCTCAGACAACTATTAACTTACGTTCTGTGTTGCAATAATTGATCGAACAACAATTGATACGACCCTCGAAAGTGACACCACCATATGATACAATGCCAAGCGGTTGACTCTGACAATCTGCAATGTATGTTCGTATGGTAAAGACTGGATAGCTTATATTGCTGAGTGCATCCTTTCCAGCCAGACCAACGATCGTCTTAAAAAGATTATCGTTTATATGAGAACATGTATTTTTTTCTTGTTAATGATTTACAGCACATGCTTCAGAAGAACTGGAAGATCCAAAGTGAATAACATTCAAACTAGTTTTATTCAAAATGATGCATCCTGCCAGGTCGGTCTAGATAAGGCCAGCATTCCATCTGGTTATCGACTACAATGCAATTTATTATATGAGAAAACGTTTGAGTTTTCGAGCAGCTTTATCTAATTGATTTTGAATGTCGCTTTGTACTATCACTAATTGTTACAGAAGAAATGAATTTCTAAGCATTTGTCCTATTATAAAATATCTAAGCAACTTTAGACATCTCCTATTACGTCGAAATGAATATCTAAAATCTTTTCAAATTTGTGAGATTAACCATCTAAGTGTTGCTTCTATATCTTTCAGCAACAAAATTCAGTTTGAACAAAAAAACAGATAATGCTCTATAAACTAGAACTAATTAATTTTTTCGTTTCGGTTTTAGAGTGGAAAGTAAAAAAAACACTTTTGATTTATAAAAACGTTTGTCTGCTTCTTATGATGTTCAGTTGTTGATACACTGAGTTTATTTTGCAATGGAGTCTGAAGTCGAATCGACCACACTTTAAAGAATGTAATTCGAATCGAATCAAAGTGGATTGATTGGATTATTGGCATCAATATACAAATAGCAAGATCCTGTTTGCATTTCATTCATCAAACAGATAAGTTTTTCCAGAAATTCAATAACAAGAAAAGTTCTCGTCGAAAACTTCAATATGGTTTTGTCCGACTACTCTCTTCTATCTCTTCAATTATCGATAAACAGTTTTCATATTTGATAGCTGCCAAGCGGAAGAGAGTATCATCATTTACGATCAATCTTTACACATTCTTCTTCTGAAACTCATATTCTGGCAACGTGCGAAGTCTCTTTCTGAAAGCAGTTGCCACTAAATCACAAGAAATCCATGAAGATTCTTTGTGATTTAAAAGGACTTTGCTCTTGAGAGTTGAATGGTTCATTCTGTAAATCCAGAAAAAGATACTTAGCTTTCAGAGTAGTATATCCGACAGTTAGTTTTAATAGCTTTAGTTTTTCGTAGTTATATCTATAAACTCACCCCACAGAATTCAGCAGCACTATTACGATAAGCATCATGAAAGTCACTATCACAAGCACCATCATACGGCCATGGACAACTGCCAACACGGCATGCCAAAAAAGTAAATGCAGACAATGGAGGTGAAGATAGATCATTGCATAAATTGTCTTTACAACAATATTCATATGCTGAAGTTCGACATGCATTCGACGGTACTATATCTCGAGTTGTTATGCCTTTCAGACTTATCATTATCTGAATAACATATAATGCAAAGTTCGATGATAACATATCAACTTCTCGTTAACTATAAGCACTGACTGAATATGAATGCATGACTTCATCAGTGAGACGAGAGAAAGATTTCTCATTGTTGTACAAACTTGATGAGAATGAAATACCATATGCAGGTCGTCCATTACACTTGTAATAACGAATATTTCGAATAATTTGACTTTTTATTATGATTATTGCTTAAAAATATCTCAATAAACTTTTCTTGAATCATACTGATGATATCACATACTATGAACTAATAGCCAGTAAAATATGAAGACGATTTGATTTTTTTGTATATTGATAAAACACGACATGACTGCTAAATAATTTCGTTTAATACCTAGAACGGATTGGAAAAATTTGTGTTTTTTATCGAAACGATGTCTGTAAAAAAGGAAAAAAAGTAATTCATTTCAAGGAATGTTGAACTGAGACGTCTAAGCTTTGATCTTTTTGAAAATTCAGACCAGTCTATGATCCAGTGTATCATCAAAAAAGTAGAAAAACATCTTGTGTTAGAATACAGACATCTCCTATCAATGTTTGAAAACAAAAATGAAATATTCATGAGAGTGTAGCCTGTTGGCTCTACATTCGTTTTCTTTCTTTTTTTTAATAGGAAAGAAGTAGTATGATCTCGTTACTAATCTCCAAGCCGAACAAGTAAACTCACAACCAAGAGCACGAATCACCTTACTATCCTCCAGGTCTTTCATCCTCTAGACGATAATGAAAGAGAAGAGAGACATAAACATAAGATAGGATGAAGCATCTATACACGTACTCTCTCACTCAACACAATTCACAAGTTTCATTCTATCTTCATGAAAGTTACATACAGATAAGAGTAAAAAAAAGAGCCGAGTGATTTGTGTGCCTATTTGATTGACTCAACCTTTTATTGTGAAAGATAAGAATAAAAAGAATACTATTGTAATGATATGTAGATTATATTGTATTTCACTTCTTTACAATTATACACGAGAAAAATAACTGAAATCGATTGCATCATTCAATGATACAGTTTTTCTTTATATTGAATTAATGTTGGGTTTTTTAAGTGATGTCTTCCACTGTTTCTGCTATAAATTCATTCAGGTGAAAAACACCTTCCATGGTTTCCTACCAATTAACGCATTGTTCTAAATCGTAACCTCACCGTTGTCATGACAATTTTTGCTTAAATTATACCAGATTGTAGTCTTAGAGACTCTCTAGGGACTATCAAGTGTCCAGATCATTTCAGTTTTTTTTAGATGTATCACTTTTTGCTCTGAAGACAATAAAACCAGATTTTTAGCTATGATCAAAGATAATTTCAAAAAGAAATACATATTCTCCACTATGCTAACTCTTACTGTGCCATTGTTTTTCAGACTGACAGTACTTTCAGATCATATGTAGCGATAATCTGACAACTTCAAACTGTAGTATCATCAAAGATACACATATTTCTTTTTTCTGCCTTTTTCCTGTAGTATCATTTCTATCGTACCATTATTCATGGATATTTACATGCTGTCTGTCATTTCTCTCTCTCTTACGTTCTCTTTGAATATTAATGAGAAATGTTTCAGTATGTTCTCTCTTCTTTGATGCCGATATACATACCGGATGCTCAAGCACTGACACAAGAATCCACGAATGTCCGTGATGCCAATAATAATCGTAAATATTTAGAACACGCACGTAAAATGAAAGATATATTTTGCGTAGCGGATGCTCTTGTAGAGCAAGGAATAGAATCTGATCTTATCAACTCGAATTTCAATCATAATTAAGACATTGAAGAGGATATGGATGGCGAGAATAACAATGATGTTTGATTACTTCATCTGCTTTTTCTCCACTTTCTTCTCTTTATCATATGATGCTGATTATGGTCTCTTATCAGATATGCTACACATATAGCTCATATTATCTGGTACAAGGTTTCAAAATGAAAAAATATATAAGAAATACATTGTATTCATTGGTACTGAGCTGTTAAGCTTGAAACGGCACGAGATAATCGTGATAAACCAAGGTAGACGGAATTCTATCCTGAAACACGATTTGAAAGTACTTCTAGTCTAAAAATAAGCATGGCAGAAAGCCTGTATTTCCTTTTAAAATTCACTGTGATTGTGCTTAAACATATGATTTTCTGGTCTTCAGCACAACAACTGACACACCTCGAAAGAACATTGAAATGAACTGAGAACTTATTGGCCTTTAGAGGGTCCATAGAGCTATAATTTAGCATAATTTAATAAAAGGCTATTATGAGAACTGTGGGATTACGACATGAAAAAACAGGTTAATCGGTTGGAAATCCTGGAAAGTGTTTTTCACTTGAACGAGTCTTGCATAGATGACGCCTTCTAGATTGCTCTAGCACATGAAGAAAAATAGTGGAGGACATTTTTTAAAAAGTCGGCATTAGTGTTAGTATATCATTTAGATTTATGAAAGCAATGTTTAAAATGTGAAAGAACTCTAATGCATTTATTAAGTCTTAAATAATAGATAGCTAGAACAACTATGAAATAACTTGATCATTTAATGTCAATCATTTATTTGACGACTGATGAGATTAATTTTGTAAATTCATGTCTATTCTTCATTGATTTGCGTTGTCTAATTTATGTAATTTGATCTAAATATAGAGAAAACCTCTCGATCGATGATGATCAAAGATAGTTGGATATGGTCGCTGTTCTCCTACTCCCCATTGGCAAGGATCAGGATAGAGTGTCAAGTTCTATTTTTTTGCGAGTAGGCTCAAAACGGATTGATCATGCCGATGGTCACGAAATTCGGGATAGTTTGATGAGCCAAGAACATTTGTATCATCTGTTATTGTTCGACTGTCCTGAGCATAAGTCAACCATTCGGATACAAAACTCATACTCATAAAACTCTTCTTCACTACAATGTATGAGGCAAGACCAGAACGCGATTTCAAATATTCTGGTTTGTCGACATCCAAAAGAATCAATGTATCTCGTTTCGTCCAAGGCAATTCCTAAAAAGAATCATTTAAGTATATAGTAGCTAAATAGTATTAAAATTGAAAATGAATTACTCGATCGTATATTAGCGAGGTCATTGCACGAATTTTGATGAATTTTCATACATAGATGAAGTAAAACGATATATCTTTCAAATTTCTCTTGCATTCATTCTTGACGATTGCTCACCTTCTATCATTGTCAAATGTGGAATATTATACTTCAATGCATGCTCTGTCTAACTTCATAAGAAATTTTTTCACATATCCTCAGCAGCATGGAGAACTAGCTAAACAAAATTAAATCTTATAACACTGCTCTGGCATTAATGCATTGAAGGAAATTATGTTTTAACAAAATTCAAGCGAGAAAACAGCTAAAATTAGCATATTATAAATCTTTACATTGAATACTATTCATTAATTAAGGAAAATCTATTAAGTAAAACTTATAATCTCTAACTAAAAAATCAATAATTGATTTGAAATCATTTTCTAAATGGCTTGTTTCAATAGAAAAAGGTTCATGCTCCTTGGATATCCATCCCTCATACATTTTTTTGCTGAACGATACACTTTTAAGTAGTATATTATCGTTTTTATGCAAAACAAGCTTCTTTTCTGAGCGAGAAAGCCCTATTTTCGTCTGTTGTTTAAAAAAAATGCACGCTGCAGAATGAAATGAGAGATTTTGGTGTTTGTCTAGGAACTGCTAGTCATGGAAAAAACACTTCCAGAACAATCCATACAAAATTAATACATGAAACACTGAGTTACTCTAATCGTGATGAAGACATCTTGCCCCATCTATTACGGTCCGTGACAAGTCAAAAAAATCTGCGTGTCAAAAATAGTAACTGTTATGAGCTACAGAGTGGGTAGGGCGGTGGTTTCCTTTTCTCGTTCTATACTTCGATATCTATCAACAATCAATTTTCACAAAAATAGTGGCGCATCACTAGTGCGGCTAACGAGTGGGAGCCTAAGACATATGTAATGCAGTCTGCGCCATACATTATTACTTAGAAAGTCTCGATTTTATCAAAATCTTTCGACTTGTTACGCATCATTCGATTATCTAGAGAAATCAAAAACAGAAAATCTAACTTTTCAGTTGTATATTTTCAGTATTTCCTTGCACAGAATGGAACTACCAGGCTCAAATATTTATCGATCTTTTTTTAAAAATATTAGTATGATTTGCCTTACATGCCAGTCGGGCAGTTTAAACACAATAATATCTTGTTGTGTCGTCAGCTTTGTCAGGTGAGAAATATTGGCGATAATGTTTACTGTTGCATCAGTATAGATAATAATATCACAATCGTGCGCTAGATACAGTTCTCGAAAAATTATATATGGTTTCCATAGCCAATAGCCAGCACCTCGTCGTCGCTGAAGAATGTGTTTATTCCGATTAAAAAATCTAGGATCCGAATCAAATACTCGTTTGTTAAACATCACACACTGTCGAATTCCATGTTTCAAACCTGTCAGACAATTATTTCGTTGTGAACGTTTACAGCAGCGAGAAGCAAAGTTAATTAGTAGAGGATAACAACGTTGAACACTCTTCTCATTGTTGTCGATGCGAACCATATGACATGTGGAAGAATTGCTTTGAGTTTCATTTGGCATCAATGCAGGCATAATCCTGTCACAGAGTAACACCTCTCGCATAAGAATAAACCAACTAATAATGAACATAATAAGAGTAATAGTCCTGCAAGAAATTGCATGAATTTGTAGACGGCTACGAGAACAACGAAATAATGGTATATATTTACCACGATTTGATCGGACTTTTAACATCTACAAGGGTAAATAATTGAAAGAATCAGATTGTTATTTAAAGATATCGAGTCACTTGAAAGATCAGTCCATTTTTCTTGAAAAGAATAATTTCAATCTCTAGCAGTTCAGTCCCCTTTCGGATTAGACCAATGTAATTCATTTTGAATTCATTATATCGAATCTTTAA